CACCGTCTGTGCAAAGATTTTCAATACGGGACTGTTCAAGCACAAATCGAAGCCTTCCAAACTAACTTCTGTGGGTAAGGCAAGTTTCTAACTCTCTGATTATTAAAATAAATACGGGGGAATCAGGGCAAACGTGGTTTTAATTCACTGGTGAGAAATACCGCAAGTAGGAACAGAAGCAGAAAACACAGAATAAGACAGAGCAAGCATTCTTAATGGAGCGGCATCCCGCCTTTGTGGGAGGAAGCAATCAGACCGCTGGTAGCAATTACCATTTTTTTATTGCACTAAGCTTGCTTTTCATTATGACCTCTTTTTGGATCGTGCTCTCCAGTTACCTTCCACACACACTGCTTAAACAACAGGTTTGCCCAGTTTACAGGGCCTGATGGTTCTCCAAAGTTTAATATACCCTTGGATTTACATTAAAAAAAAAAAAAAAAAAGCATTCACAGTGCTCAACCAAGGCAATAAATAACTTATATCTTGAAGTTAAATTAATTCTTGATTATAGGAAACAGTTTCTGGGGATGTATTTTTCAGAAGCTAGGATAACTAAACATTTTAAAGTATTTTAAAGTGTGAGCATAGGTTTAAAAGAAACCTCAGAAATAATTTTATTAAATTAAAACCATTAATAGGAAATAGCACTGTTATCTAATTAGCCACTTATGAGAGATTATTCATGCATGCTGAAGAAATTAAGTACCCCTTTAAAACATTCTAGAAATAATTTAAAAACTTGGGTGGTATAGTGAACTGTCCATTAAAAAAAAGTTAACTAGCATTAGTATTTCTCTTTCACCCTGGTTTTACACTGCATTGTTCCAAAAATCTTCCTAATTTACAACAGTTTGTCAGTTTCCTGATTAATCAACTAGGAAGTCGAGGAGCCACACTGTTAATTTATGAACATGAATGCCAGTGTTAGTACAATTTCTTTGCCTAAATTCTGTGCATTCCATAATAATCTGCACAGAGCCTTTCATATAGACAAAGTAGGTGAAATTCACACTTCTGGAAGACTTTGTCTCCAAGATGAATTCCTCACTGCAATGTTGAAGAGACATTTCAGCTTTTTAATAGCACAGCACTGTTCAGTAACAATTTAGATATTTAAGAGCATTCGAGATATTCAGAAACTGAGTCAGAACCACCTGGTTAGTGGGTAAGCCCAAGCTAGGTGGGCATTTCCACTTGTTACAGGCTCTAACAGCACTGAGTTAAATGGAATATATTATGGCCCGTCACAGCATTACTACAAAATACTGTTGGGTTTTTTTTCCCCCCAAGATTCTACTTTTGTTCTGTTCTATTGTTCTATTTGTTTTGTCTTTTATTAATAGTTTACAATTGTCTGGAACTTACTTGAAAATATTTCCTTGAAAAACTGAACACAGCTTGAGTGATCAAACTTCTCTTCCTGTGCATGTTTACTGCTGATTGGTGAGGGGGACACCCAAATACATCTCTAAATAGATACTAGAAGGAGAAAATGCTGATAAGCTAACACTGGAATTGTACCCAAGTGCCTATACCTTCTATATTAATCAGTTTTGATGTTGGGGGTATACCCTGTTGTAAAAACAGCTTGAGATAAAAGACATATTTAACTTTTTTTATGCACTTTTTAAACACTTCATCTTCTTTTATATTTTTACTTAGGCTTTTCAAAATGGCATTAAGCAAAATCTTTTTCTGATTGCAGCCACCTATGAGAAGTAGCACCAATAAGAAGTTCAGAAATTTGATTCAGAGAATTAAAAGAAGATAACTGAATTAGTACCTTCACTGCAAGATGTAAATCCTCAGAAAAGGCAGCTTCAGATGAATTGGAAGAAAGCAGTTAGCTTCCAACCCTAACAGAAACAGTTTAAGTTGTATCTGCTTCAATAAAATGGTTAGAGAGAAAGTAAACACTGCTCCGCGCCCTTCAGCACCACCATGTAGTTTTTAATTCAGCACAATACTAGTAAGAAGCCATGCAGGCTCTCCCCATCTCCTCTCCAGTTTCATGACCACCTCCGTTTTGTCACTGGAAGGAAAAGCTGTGTCACAGCAGTTCTGCAGCTGCGATCAACACAGGTCAGATGCTTGTTTGCCTTTCAGCAGCTGAGAAGGTGAGAAAAGCCAGCGTGGACTCGGTGTACTCTGCGCACTACGGAAACGCAGCCTGGCTCCAGCAAAGAGAAGCACTAAGAGTAACTAGACTGGTTTCATTACTTAAGCTCACCTCACCGAGACTAGCTGTTAACAACTCACACAACACCACATCGTGCAACCTGGGTATAACCAGAATAAAGAAAATAAAATCAACCACACAAAACCAGCTTGGGGTTTTTTTATTACATACTAATAATCCATATCAACACAGCTGTTATCAGAGTAAACCCTCATGGGACAAGTAAGTGCCATAATGCAGAATATGGAACAGAAGATCAGTGTAAAGTGTGGAGCAGCACAACATCTGTTTAAAAAAAATTAGAAAAATCAATGCTGTGAAAACTCATGGTAGTAAACTTCACTTAAAAAAAAAAAATCTTTGGAGAGGCTTAAAGTTCACAAACTTCCCAAAACCCAGGAAAAGCCATGTGCATCCCCTTCCCCGTGAATCCATCAGGACTTAATTCCATGAAGACTTTTTGCAAAAATTCAGTGTTTAAATTTTCTACAAATTTCAAATTCTTCTTTACTATTAGAGAGCACAGTAAGCTGATCTATTCTACACACATATATTGCTTCACTCTTATGGGGCAAATAACAATCACCATTTCTTCTAGCTTTAAACAGCTATTTCAAGCAATATATGTACATAAATGTGTAAACAAAATGCCTAAGGGCAGGCTTAAAGCAATTTCATAGAAGTATCCCAATTCAGCTATTTGTGCTCCTTACTTCAAAATCCAGAGTGTCAAATACAAGCAGCAAAAGTTTCTACTACTGCAGTCTAAAACAAAATAATGATCCCATTTACTTGTGTGAATTTATAGAAATCATTTCAAGCCACAATTCCAATTAATTCAAAAGGGCTGAGAACAGGAAGAATACATTTACAGTAACTGCACAGCTTACATGGCCCAAAAAAGTCTCAAAATTAATTTTTAAACTGTTATTAGCAAGGAATGTAACACATGTTGACAATTTAACGTATAACTCAAAAATAGGCAACTACTGCACTGATCCAAATTTCTTAACGTATAACCATATTTGAAAATATACAAAATCTGAAGTTACTACATGAAATTAAAACCTGGTTTTAAAAAGTGCACAGTAAAAACTGAAGGTAATTACTATATAAATTATCCACAGAGTGTATTTCCTGGTTTAGAGACAACATTAAGTTCTGTTTTATCTGTTACAAGTTCTAAATATTTTAAAGCCATTTACAGCACCAAATTAGTTTTCACTAGACCCAATACCACCTCTGCTTCCGGTAAAAAACAGGAATTGCACAATGAATGTTCACGATCTGCATCCCGTGCAGCAGCAGCTTCCAAAGAGTTGATTATCTGTAAGCTATCGATTTTTGTTCTTTTTAGAATTTCCCTGCAAAAAGAAACAAGTGAAAAGAACATATAATTCAGATATGAAAATCTATACAGACATCATATAAAACCTCACATCTCTTAACTTATGTCTACAGCAAACAAAGAAGTCAAGCTGAAAATAAACAGTTAATAATGGAGGCCTGTAATGGCTTGCTCCGAAAATCCCTCTATCTTTACAGGCATAACAAAGTACCAGATACTTCCAGCAAGCACAACAGTATCTTACTTCAGTTTAAACCTGTGGAAAAGACACATTTGACTTCTGTCCCAAGACACTCAATTGTATTAACACCACTGGTATTGTAAGGGCAGTACAGGCAAGTTGAATAATTCACCCTGAAGTGGTATTTCAAACATAAACCTGATACGATAATTGTCTCAAGTTAAACATCAATCCCCCACTCTATCATCTTGTTCCAAAACATATTTAACTTGAACTTGGTCTATGCAGAACATTCCTAGTTTAGAAAATAATTTGTTCTACAGCTAACCAACTCACACTTCACTTGCAACAATTGCACAAAGCAAACGTGTAGCTTAAAGTAAACTTTTGTGCAACAGTTACTTGCAGGCAATTCTCTTGTTTTCCTAATTCCTTGAGATAACATTTGGTTTTTGTCTAACCAACAACTCTCTCCAAATGATAATGGCTTTAGCTGCATCATTTTGATTTCAACCAAATCGCTTTCTACATTTGGTAGCATTTGAAAATCCATGTCTACTGCTGTGAGACTCTGAGCTCCCTCCTTACAGAGTAACACTTCAAGTCTTAGAAGTACAACAAGTGAAAAATTCCAGAGAGCATTTCATAAAAACGTGAAGTGCTATGGTCAGTATGCAGCCAAGAGCTTCCCTCTAAAAACACAAGAGCTTATACACCAAAAGTAGTTTTAAAGATTGCAATGCCAAGTCAAAACACTCGGACCTCTGAAGAAAAACAGCTCTGTACATGAGAGGAAGAGTCTATTCTAAAAAAAAAAAAAAAAAAAAATCATCGCTGTCATGGGACCTTTAACCAAAACATGGATTGATTTTTTTTTTTTTAACCCTTCAGTGAAATCTGCTTGCATGCATTCCACAATTAAGGAGGCCAATGCTGGCTTACTAGTTTCACAGCCAGACTAGTGAAGGGTAAAGGCCTTCACAGGATCTGTTTTCCACTGTCAGAATAAGGTATACCATGGTTTAAGCACTGACTGCTCAGATCAGCAGAAATCTGTGTTTTTCATCATTAAGATAAGTCAAAAACTTCTTTCTGGTAAATGGATAGACTCCTTACTTGTGCGTTTTAAGTTTACATAAAAATTTAAGTGGCAAATTTTTCATTCCTACATATGAGAGACAGAAAAGCTAGGATATGGAAATAAGATGGAGAAAAAAAAAATAGTTGCCAAGAACAGAGTATGCTGCAACCGAGAGAGGCGCGCAGGAAGGACACTGTTACCAAGAAGTTAATCATAAGCACCCAGTATCACTACATGGATTTGCCAATAGTTCTATTTTCACCAGCTATAAGCAACAACAAAAAAAAAAAGGTGCTGATCACCTATCAGAGGGCACACTTGGAAAGCCTCATTTGAAGCAGTGAGATTAAGTGTTTCTTCTTTCACACATGGATGTTTTGCAATAATTTTTTCTTCACTGAAATGTGCAGAACTAGGTTTGGAGTTTTCTTTCTAACTGGCCAAGAATAAGAACTACAGCTTGTGAACTGCTGTGTTAAAGGGTAGTACTGCAGGAATAATGCCAAATGTAACCCACAGACCTCCAAACCGCAGCCAGCGTCTAATGTCAACACCTGGCAACTTACCTTACTAGTCATCTTCAGCGTATCAATTTCTTCCCTTTGCTTAGTTAAGGTTTCATTCATACTGCAGAGATGGTCACTCATCATGCTTAACTGATCCTCATAACTTCTCTTGGTTGTCATCAATTCATCCTAAGGGAAAAAAAGGAACCAGAAGCCTTTGCTCAGTATTAGGGACAACTGGCAAAGTAGCCCACTTCTACCTCCAGTTAGTACACCATACTTTTGATGCTGAACGTGGACAATTAAGCTAAACCATTGAAATAATTTGCTGAAAGAAACTCCATGACTACAACACAGCAACAAAGGTATGCAGACACTTTAGGAAGGACAGGACAGAAGGGCAGAAATCATGCTCTATGTGAAGGAGTGGTATGAAGACTTTTAAGATCTCATAGGTAGGGATCAAAGGAGAACAATGAGGGTGATATGGCAGGCAGCTGCTACAATCAGACAAAAGTCTCTCAACCTCAGACCCTGCTCCTCATGAGAGATTTTAACCACTCTGACATCTCCTGGAAGGGCACAAGGTGGAACACAAGCAATTCAGAAGTTCTCCTGAGCGTGGTAAAGAACTTCTTGATAGCAGTGTTCAACAGGCCAAAGAGAGGCTCTCTGCTGGAGCTGTTACGCACAAACAAGGAAAGCTAGTCAGGGATGTGAAAGCCAATTGTGGCCTTGGCTGCAGCAACCACGAGTTAGTGGAATTTTATGTCTTGAAGGAAAAGCAAGCAAGATGAATAGCAGAATTACAGCAACCTTAGATTTAAGAAGAGTAGATTTTGGCTTTTTCAAGATCTGCTTGGCAATATCCCAGGTAAAACTGCCCTAGAAGTCAAAGGGGAGCAGGAAAACTGAATGATTGGGGACAGAGCAAAGAACAGCCCAATGCTCAGGAAGCTGAGCAATTGTGGCAGAAGGCCAGCATGGCTGTACAGGAAACTCCCAATTCAACAGCTTGATCTGAACTCTCTCTGCTCTGACCAAAGGAGGGGACCACATTACCTTCAGAGGACCCCTTCCACCTAAAAAATTCTATGATTCAATATTACGCAGGCTACTAAACATACAAATAGTATGCCTGCTATCTTTTCTTCAGAAGTTTAATATGCAATTAGAGATGAACACCTCATGCTGAGCTGGATATTGATTGTGGAACTTGTTAAAGGAACAAATCAAAAGAGCACTTTGCATTTATGAGAAATTCTTTTAAGTGTATATCATTATATTCACTGCCTGTAGGGAGCATTTTAGGTACTCACCATGTCAGATAGGTGAGCACTAAAGATATGAACTAAATATGAAGAAAACAAAGACATTTAAGCACTGAAGATTTATATATACTCTATTTTACTATTGGCTCCTTTCTGAGCTGTGTGGAAAGGAAGGACAAAGGGGCAGGACATACACAGGACAACATTTTCATAAAAAGCCTTGAGATCAAATGTGATAAAACACAGGTTTGGCTACTACAACCTTTTCCTTGCAAGCGTGTTCCACTTCAACTTTATACCCTGGATTTGAAGTGCATTATTTAACATCTTTTCTCTACGTACCGTTAGAGTTTTTACATCTCATAACTAAGGACCTAGTAAAGACATGACCATGCTCAATGGTCTTAATTCCTCTCCTCCAACTTCCCCTTACACACAATTATGAAACAGATCTATTACATCATGTAACATTTTACTTGCCTGTAACCTACTGATGTTTTGACTAGCTAGTTTCAACTCTTCTGTGAGCGATTCCTTGGACTTCTCTGCTAAAGACAGTCTTTTGACAAGTGCTCGACACTGTCAATCAGAACAGGACAGAAGGGAGAAGAGTTAGTTCCAGACTATTGCCTTGTGTCATCTTTAACTGATTGCTTTGGATGTTTCTATCTTTCTGTAATCCTTAGATTTCAAGATTAAATGCAAAGGTGATACTTTCGTTTCATTTTACAGTACTACCATATTGCCAATCCTCTAAATCTCCTATTTTTCACCTTATTGCTAGGAAATATTTCATAAGTAAAACGCAAAACAAACAACTCACTTTGTACATTGCCCAAATATCAGAGAAAGATGGTTCCTCCATACTTTTTTAATCTACTATTAAAAAAATATTTAAGACTATTTGCTCTGTCAACCTGGAGCTTTGGTATATCCCACATCAGTTAATTACACAAACCAAAATGACCACTACTTCCAAGAAAAATTACTTCATGATTTGAAATGAAAGCAGGAAATCATCGATACTGAACTGTTTTGTTAATTCTTGAAGTATAACTTCTGCCTAAGAACCAATTTCTCAGAGGAGAGCTGTTCTCATCACTTCATGATTCACTCAAATATTGTTGAATGATGTCAGCATCACTTTAAGATGAAGTCAAAACTAGCTTGGTAACTAAAGCCAGCCACTTCAGCTTATATGAACAAACCTATACATGATACACATTGTACTTCTTAATACACTCAGGAGAAGGCTACCAAAAGATTTATTAAAAAAAAGTCTTTCTACACTATCTGTTTTTATGCATGTGATACCACAGCCAAAGAACATATTCCAGGAACAGATTTTTGTGAAACGTTATGTTCCATATATTTAAACTCACTGTCATAACATTTGCCTGTGGAAAGCTGAAAAAGGGATTTACTGTTTTCAGTACAGACACTGCCTGCATGCTCACCTCAGCGTGAAAGTGTACCGATTTGCTGTCAGCCAGCTGCAGATGAGATGTAAGTTCTGCTATCCTTGCCATATAGTGGTTTTTTATCAGGTCTTCACGAGACTCAACATCTGGAGCCTGGCAAAGCAAAAATTTAAGCAGACAGGTACTTCTGTTTAATAGACTGAATACTTAAACCACAACATTGTCCTCTATACTGACTTGACTTCTTATCTCCCAAGGCCTGGCTGCTCTACCCAAAAGCACTGAATTCCCCAAACACAACAGACAAATTACAGCTGGTCACTGGAATTTGTCACACTGATAGTCACTCTCAGTGTCAGACTTTCTTAAAGGACAAAGAGCTGATTGAGGACGTAAGAAGTTAGCTTGATTTAACATATTGAGAGCAGCCTGGTCTGGTCGAGGGTGTCCCTGCCTGTGGCAGGGGGATTGGAACTCGATGATCTTTGAGGTCCTTTCCAGCTCTAACCATTCTATGATTTTATGAAGATGAAAATCCACTGCAGAAGTAGACTGCTTTCACTTACATAAAAATTTACTGGCTTTTCCCAACATGGAAAAATTCCTGGCATAACTAAATTTCAGAGGCTTGCAACTGTCAGAACTAGTTTTTTTATGTTGCATGTTCCAGAAGTTTGTTTAGACATTTGAACTTTAAAAAAAAAAAAACAAGAAAACCAAAATACCCAAACTTGCCAGTTTACTGTAAGTTAGAGAGGAATCCACTAGATGCAGCTTTCATATGGCTTGTTATTACCTTCAAGTTCGGCACTATGCAGTAGCTGTTAAGAACTTGTAACAGTTATTATTTGGCTCCCACCCCCTTTTGTCACACCTTCAGAAGAAAAGGAGGAGTAAACTAAAGTACACATCAGTTCCCTGCAATATCTGAGAAGGGAAAGCACTGAATCTTACTCTGCTAAATTCCTGCTGGGGCAAGTGTTACGCTGTAGCAGTGTGAAATAACACTTAAATCTGGCAGCTAGTTCTAAGTTTCTTTCAGTGTGACCTCTGGTTTGGGATAGTCTGTACTCAAGTGTTAAATGCCATGCACTGCAGTCAGTGACTTTTCTGCAGCTTGAGCCCTTCCTCAGGAGTTAAGAATTGAGGCTTGGAATGCAGTTAGGGTTACTGAAGCACAATGCTTCCCTCAACTTACAGGGAACAGACCTGGACCACAGCCCACACTGCTCCAAACTGCTTACATGAATAAAAGATAACGGTTAACTAAACAGAAGAAGAAAATACGTGGATTTCAGAAACTTGACCATATAGGGTGACTCGTGCCATTATACTACAGTATTCTTGGTAATTAGACCATTGGAATAAGTATAACAGAATCAGAATTGAAGTATTTACCAGATGTCCATTGATAATGTTTAAAACAGATTACCTTTTCATTATCAATAGTTGTTGTCAACATTCCAATCTAGAACAAGGAAGAAAATATGTTTAAGTGAGAACTGCAAAAAATAGATACCATAGCTGCAAGTCATCTCTGCTTCAGTCACAGAAGGACTCTAATTTTAAAAAAATCTTGCAACAGTTAACACTAAAACCAAATGTAAGCATTTCCACCTGTAACATAAGCAAGGGCAATAATACACATGAATTATCTGAACATAATTAAAGCTGACAGCAACTCTCCAAATATTTAATATCCTTTGCCTTACGATGTACACAGGGAAAAAGCAATAAAAGCAACAAGATGCAGGTAGCTTGTACGATTATGCAACTGCTTGATTACATGAAACTAATTCAGAGGTATATTAGTACACTGAAACATCACTTTTCATGTTCGAGAGCAAGGAAACCCATCTTCGATTTCTTGAGTACCTTCTAATTCCTCTGCTGGTTTCAGCTGGGACAGAGTTAAACCTTCTTCACAGTAGCTAGTGTGAGGCTATATTTTGGGTTTGTGCTGAGAAGGCGGCTGATAACATACCGATGTTTATAGTTGCTGCCCGTGTCTGCAAGGGCAGGAGAAGTTGGGAGGGAGCACAGCCCCAGTTCCTAGCCTAGGATTCAACCTTAGGTTTAGGACTGAGACCCAAATTGGCCAAGGGTCTATTCCATATCATGCACGGCATGCCCAGTATATAGATGAGGCTCTGTCCGGAAGTGGTCTCTCTCAGCATCAGCTCTCTCTCTCTCTGGGTCACTGTGGTCTCTCGGGCTCTTATATTTTCCAGGACTGCAGTTTTGGGACTGTCTCTGGTCCAGGATCATTAGCAGGGAACATGCTGAGCCTTGGTCATTGGGTGGTGAGCAGTTCCACTGTGTATCACTCATTTGTATATTTGTATATATTACTATTATCATTATTATTTTCAATTTTATTGTAGAATAGTTATAAAGTTATTGTGATCTCAATGCACAAGTCTCTTTTCCCTTTACCCATTTATTTCTCTCCCCCATCCCTGGGAGTGGGGAGGGTGAGCTGTGTGGGACTTTGCTGTTAGCCAGGGGTCAAAACCACTACAATTCCTTTCTTTCCAGTTGACAAGTAAATGGAGCACTGACAGAACTCTATCAAAGGGGAGTATGCAAATAACCAGTCTCATGGAAGAATGTCTTCATAGAGTCAAAAGGGCTTTTCTCTGACATCAGCAGGATTAGAGATTTAGGTTTATGGGAAATACTTATACGCTATGTTGACCTGTAAGTTACACTGGCTTCTTCTAGCCACAATGCTTATTCTCCTCAGACTGCTAATGGATCAAATATAGGATCAAAAACTTAAGATGCTAGTTTACTTCAAAATTTGGGATTTCAGAACAATCCACAGGTCATTTTTATCCTGGAACAGGGAAGTAAGGAGGAAAAAAAAGGAAGAACTCTATCAAGTGCTTAGCTAAGTAGACTATTTCTTTCTTACAAGATGACACCTCTGTTAATACCACTTCGGAAGTGGTAATTCAGAGGAAAGGCCCACCTCTTTTAAACACTAGCAATAAACAGGAAAGACATTTACTCGACACAGAAGAGCAAGGACAGAACACGTCATAACAATTATATTTGGATGAGTCCAAGCTGTATGCGCCTATGAAGGTTACGTAAAAATCAGTGCTCCAGAAAGCACCGAAAACTTGAATGGCTTCTTCCAGTTAAAATTAAGTTGTACCACACTGACTTGTAGTAAGTCTTTCAACCCATTTAAAATTACTTACTTCCCTTTGCTTTAACGTACCTACAGATGAAAAAAGTACTGGAAACTCGGAGCCAACCTGGGATATATACCACTTGCAAGGCTTCCTGATATAGAGTCAGAAAAATCTAGAAGTTAAGCATCTATTATTTCTCCCTCAGTCATACAAGTACAGAACTACGAAAATGTCTCCATGATACCAAAGATACCAAAGTCTCAAAAGCCAAGTTCCAAACTCTGCATAAAGTATTAGCAAGTGGCTTTGCAAATGCAAGGAGCCCAAGTGTGAATGCATTTCAACATAGTCAAAAAGCGTTCATTATTAGTGTTCCACTGATCAAACAGTACTGCTACTAAAGAGAGGGGATTTTTCTCTATTGAAGGAAAAAGGTCACTTACAAGACTAGTACTTTTAATAGGTTCCCTTGGACTCTTCTCTGTGGTTTCCTTCTTTTGTTCAGCTGCATTTGTCAAAGCAGAACACTCTTGTATACTTTCAGTTAAATGTCCACTAAGAGAGTTCTTCAGTTTTTGGTTTTCTTTCTCTAGCTTTATTTTAGCTAGCTGGGCCTCTAGCATCCAGTGTTCTTTTTCTTGTTCAAGTTTTGCAATTTTCTCCAAGCTCTGCTGGACCTTTAGGAGGCAAAATTTACAGTCCAGGTTATTGAACACAAGGGGAAAAAGTCACACACAGGAAATGCCTGAAGGTAGTATTATTTTAAACCATTACATAAGTGAGCTAATGTAAAATGCAGCAGGTAAACAACTACTGATTTGAGCAGTATACTTAACTGTGGTCATGTGTCAAAAATTACCATGGTATTTAATTAGTCAGAAACATGCATCACAAAGTTACAGCTCATAGAAGTGCCAACATCATATGAAGTGAAAAATCAAAGCAAGGAAGAATTTTATGAAACTTGAAAGATGTGTCTTGTTCTATTCTAAAAAGGCAAACAATCTCTCCCCTCCCAGCTGCCCTACCTCATACAGACAAAGAACCCACTTGTCCAGACAAGCAAATCAGTGATGGAACAGTAGATATCACATCACTCCACACTTTTCTACTGAAACTCCTCTCATTCCTACTAATACACTTTGAACATTGGCCACTAAAAAAACCCACCACTAAAGTATTTTTCTTCTGTACAAGTTCAATGACAGTGACTCAAGCACAGTCTCAGCATTCAAGCTAATAAAGAAGTTTTAGTATTAATCAGTTAGTCTCATTCGTATGAGGAGATGGGCACCCTGTATAGGCCTTTAGAATACCATTTAACCTCCCTCTGCCTCACTTTTCAGAAAAAAAAAATATATATGCACACTGCAAGAATGATAAACTGTAATCTATTAATAGACTCTAACTGAAAAGAAAAATCACTGTTCTTAGTCAGTGCTAATAAATCCTGCATAGTCCAAAAAAAGCACTCAAAACAGTATGTAACACTATAAATTAATCTCTCAGTATGCCTTATTCTTGTCTTTATTTTGTATTTCTTGAATTATTAAAGATTACCCGACTTCTTGTATTTATAAATGAAGACATCAATGGCATAATCCTGTCTCTTATAACTACATGTACATTCTGCAGGTACAGAAGAACAAGTCTCGGATAATCCAGCCTGACGAGGATAAGTTTTACTTTCAAAACTCTACAAAGACAACATCTACAGTCTAATTTCAAGCTTAAGTATATGTATATATATGTACAAATGACCACAGACATAAATATGTGAAGACTATTTGATGCTACTTTATAAAATACACTCTCATATACGGGAGTAAAATTTATACCAGAATACCTGTTGTGCAAGACCTTCTCTACTTTCTGTGGAACTCAGAAGAACTCTGCGATTGGCCAAAGCCTCTTCATAAGGCACTGACTCTGCACAAGGCTGCAGAAAGATAAGAGAAACATGTTTCACAGTAAATCAGAACATGTATTCTACAATTATTTTCTTATTGCCCTCCTTACTTTAGTAAAGGGAAGAAAAACATCTTCCAAGTGTTTACCAGCCAGTAGAAAAAAATGGTTTGAGCTCACAAAAAAACCCACACCACAATGCATACCTGATTAAAAAGTCCTCAGAAAATTCCAGGTGTTTCTTAATGACCAAATGCACCTTAAGGCTCACTTTACAGACACTACAGTAAAGCGACTGAATGACAACTGTTAAGCACATCATCACTTAATTTTCATGGAGACAACAGGGAGAGTGTTTAGACCTTTGGTTCAGCACATTTTCTCCAGCATACCTGCTTTTCAGATGCTTTTCTTTTGTTGCTCTCCACTGTCTACCAGTGAATGCACATATAATAACATGATGTCATTCACTCCATATTCCTGATGAACATGGGAGGAAATTTAAATAAGCAGCTACACTCTTCTCCTTGGAGTCTTGGCACAGAAATAATTAGTGGAAATGGGTAACAACAGAATTGGCACATACCCTCAGTCGTGAGAGCAACTATGCTCTCTAAATTTTTCAATAGCATTATTGCTCTAAGGGTTCCATCTCCTCAGCCAAAGATTCTCAGAGAATCTCATCCATTCCAAACAGGGAAAATCCTTAGTTTGTATGCTCTTTGGCATAGCCAGCTATCAACAGAACTGTGCTTTCTCTGTGCAAGCATGCTAGCTGAACAAACCTTCTTCAAAGACTTCATGTAGGCAACCGCCTTTTTCTTGTACTGCAGCATACACTCAGCTGAGACAGGGTTGATGAACTCTGTTCCTCCTTTAGGGCCATAGCTCAATGAAGCAGTAAAGTGATCCAAGTTGTTGCTAAAGAACGAGGCAATCTAGATACATCAAGAAAAATCACTTTTCAACTTAAATTGACCAGAAAGATTCATGAGATCAATTACTCTTTCAAGAGAAAGACAAGTATTTAGTGAAACTGGACTTCACAACAAGAAATTCAAACAACCTACAGGCTCTTCCACATAACTTTGACCTTATTAACACAATGCATCCTCTCCACAGTATCTCCTTTCATCACCCATTCAGTTATTGTTATCTTGTAGCCTGAAAATACCTTAGAACAAACCTGATACTATACATTATCAATATCAGAGGCACACCTAGATTTTCCAAATCATTCAACTAATATTTTTTTGAAAACACCTGCACAAGTTAGGGCCTTATATTGAAACAAAAATATCCATTACCTTGCCCACTCCATTTGTTAAAGCCACAACAGAGGACAAAATACAGTCATTTGTAGTTATGAGTTTCTGTGTGGCAGTTGGAACGTCTTGTTCTAAAGTAGCTTTTTGACTGTAGTGCTTGGCAATATCTGTAAAAAAACCACATTTATGTCAAATTACAATTTTTGTCTATTTCAGCAACCATTTTCAAATTCAGTTTATGACCTCAGGCTTTGAATGCTTTTCCTCCTCTTTAAGCAAGTTGTATAAAAGTTTAGTCCAGATACTCTTAGATCTTCACACTGAACTAGCACTTCATTTCACAAGTATACTTTCCATTTCCGTATGTTTACATCAGGACACTTAAAAGTAGAATTTTCAGTCATATTCAATATCTGAGTCTTAAGCTTATATGATTTATAAGGGAAGGATATTTAATCCTACCAGAGCAAATCTAAAAGACTACCAGAAGTTCAGAACGCTGCTTCCTATATTCTAAAATTCTTTCAGGCAAAATTAACAGTCTTCAGAGATTAAAAAAAAAAAACAAGAAAAATCCCACAAATTTTTTTGGAAGTCATTTACAAAACTTCTCAGCTTAAATACTAAAAGAAATGAAAATATCCATATTTGGCTTAAATCCATAAAAGCTTAACATTTAAAGAGCTGACTCATAATAAAACAATTCATCTATATAGATTATTTTCTCCCTGGGAACAGCTACATGGTGCAAAAATTCTAGGATACACAGAAATATCAGTGTTTTAAAACCAGAGTTTTAACCAAACATCACTTCACTGATAATGTAACACATCCACATTCTTCTGATAACAGGAAGGTAAGCTATTTTCAAGGAGGAAGTTAAGTTTCAAGAAGAATGCAGATTTCTTTGTAAGCTTTGGTTATACATTCATGTTAAAAATAGTAATCAACCAACCAGTAAGGAAAAATTGCACTTTGAAGGCAGGTATCAGTTCAACGGTACGTAAGCAGGGGAAAATACATACATTTAATGGCATTCTATTCTGTGTGCTAGTTCCACTAGAACAATGAAGTTCAGAAAGTAAAGTGACACTGTTCAGAAAGATCTAGAGCACCACAATTAAATATTCCAGCAACTCAGAATAACAAAGCTAATAGAACAGAGGAGTGAAAAACATGCATGCATGTTCAAAACAAGTAGTTAGTAGGTTTAGTTTATTTTCTTAGTTTGTAAATGCAAACCCAACCAGATTTATCACATATTGCACATTCAACACTGTTTCAGAGAAGAGTACGTGTGCTATGTTAAACAGAAGAAGCAGAGCTGAAACATAACAATATTCCTGTACTCTCACCTTTTAAAATGTCATGAAATCCATGAAGACTTGCAGCAATATTTGTAAACACCACATTGTAATTTGTTCTTAGCAGTCCTTCTGGTTTTGTACCTAAAAGTACCACGTAGAAAGGAAAAACACCAACACTGAGATTCAACCTCAAATGAAAAGCTACCTGTAAAAATAATCTGATTTCCACCTACTAGAAACGTTTGCATGGAGTACGAGAATCATAACAAATTAATTTACTTAAATTTCCCCTTCAATATCAAATGTGTATATACCAAATTTCGTCAGAGTAGGCAGGTAAAAGACTTCAGGTTTCCTAAATTTCATTCAGATTTTACAAATATGAACTGTTTTGCTCCCAAAAAGCAATTACACATGCAGAATTTACATGCTCCCTGCTGTAGGAAGAACCACCTGGGTCCTTCTAAAGAGTGAAGACTGAAATAACTTGAAGCTATACAATAGCTGTTTCCTCTTATTATTTATACTATGCATTTGGAGATCGTTTCCCCACTCACATACACACAGATGTTTTATCTGATTTTATTTAGGCATTGCCATAAGAGTTGTAGTTTAATAATTTTATGAACAGGAGAAACTGGAAGTAATAATTACAAATAAAATGTAGCTTATTAACAATTTCATGATTAAGAGATGACAAGACATACTGTCAATCGTGCTATGAAAACCTACAGTCATTTCTTCTCCTCTACAGCTAACTATGACTAAGATGTGGCACACATAACTGCTTGGTAATTTCCAGGCCTGCACCATGCCTATGTCTATCCAAAAGGAAGAGTGTGGAGCATTAAAGAAACACCCTCCAGCATGCTCAGTCTCCCAGACTGGATAAAAGAGGCTCCAGTATGGCAGAGCACACTGCAGAACTCACCTGCCCTGTAGTTTAGACTGCACCAAGTAGCATTCATCTTGGTTTCCTCTATCATAGAAGTGGGATTTTACGTGTGTATGGTTTTAAAAACAAAAAACAAAACACCAAACAAAAAAACCCCAATGCTGGCCCAAAAAAAAAAAAAAACCCAAGTACCTTCCAGTCTCAATGTAACCACCTGAGCCGAAACTGGCACTTACTTGGTAACGCAAGAAGACTAACGTATGTGTGTAGCTTCTCAAAGACTGCAGTCAACCTTTTCATGTCTCTGTGGAGCTCCATATTTCTAGCTCTTAAAGCAGCTGTGCAAAGAGAAGACTCACACTCTTCTTCCAAACTAGGAATATATGAATTTTTTTTTTTAAAAAGTGAGCAATTATCTTAAACAACAAATTAATGAGTTTTGGAATAGATAACAATTGTTGTCTAAATCCCAGTCCAGAACAACAATAGACTACAAATTTCTTTTAGAAAGGTTAACGTATCAGAGTTATTTAGCAATACATGACAATCACAGTGTGCATATACTATCCCCACTCTTAGAAGCCCTCAGTTACAATTGATTGCATCAGTTTAAAGACACTTTCCTCTACTACATGTAATTTATCTTTTGCTTCCTAAGGAGGAGAAGAGGAGGTACAAAGGTGGCATAAACCAAGCTTCTTCTTCTTCCTTAATCCAAAAATCTCTTTTTAAGCAGTCCTTTGCACTAATAATTCACCTCCCTTTGACCCACTGGGAACAGAGACTCTCACTGAAGAATGGATGTGCATCTGGCCAAGTTTTACTACATTGCTATATTTACTGCATGATAAATAATCTGCAGACAGGCTCAAGAAATTAACAGTTTCCATGTATTATACATGAATAGTATAAGTGCTATTGAACAATACTAAGAAACATTACAAATTGTGCAGCTTTCATCGAAGTCTCATCTGTGAGAGGGAAGAAAAGGCTTTAAAATACATGTTATTAGGTCTACTGCCCAGCTGAAAAAAAATATGCATAACCTAAATGCTCAAAAACCAGCAAAGAAGAAAGTTCTGCCTTTTAAGCCAGGGTGCTTTAAGGCTTGACTTAATATTTGAGTTGTAGATGTTGACAATGCTACATATCCACCACTTAGTGCCCCTTTAATTTGATTTGTCAGATCAAAAGTACCTTTTTAACTGATACGGAAGAATCTTTCTTAAAAAGCGTAAGTATGAAGCTAAATGTTCTGAGAAGGCTTTCAATTTCACAGCTGTTTCCTGGAAGAAAAAACCAACAAATAAGTATTCTTGCCCTGTAAAAATCTTTTTCCAATACTAAAAATAAGAAATCTTACCAGGACTGTCACAGTATCTTCTGTAATACTCTCAAACAAGTGAAGCATTCCTTCCTCCAGAGGGCGAACATATGAAGCATTTTCATGAAGATACTGTGAGAACTGAGTACAGAGAGATTTTTAAATGGTGCTTGCTGAAGGCTCTTGCAAACTGTTGTAAGTTAACAACTGAACAGCCTGCTTTAGCAAATGAACCCCAGGATGTCAATAATAAGATATAACAGAGTCAAATTATGTACAGCAACCTCTTCTACAAGACACAGCAACACACACCTTGAGGGAAAGTGAGAAATAATAGCAAAGACTACAATGGAAGTCCAGACAAAACCCTGCCTAGGGCTTTGCCACAGCACCCTATCTCATGGCACTGCCATGCACAGCACACCAAACCCCTGCATCTTCAGTTTAAACATTTTTGCATTCCTTGTTCAACTCTTACCAAATTAAGGCTAGACCCGCGCACCACTAAGCCACCAGAATAACCTTCCTCCCAGCTGTCTACCTCTCAGCCCTTGTCCTGTGCAGCAGCACAATATTTTGCTGTGCAAAGTATTGAAGAACTAAGCCAAGTTAAAACTGAGAGCAAGAGAGACATTTTAGTCTATATCTGTCTCCAGTTTCTCTATCTTCCAGTTTTCAACATGCCTCAGAGCATGCTTGTGCCAATGCAAAGGATGGAGCAGCAACGAATCAAAGGAAGAATTACTACTTTCAACAACTATGACAGGTTTGGGCAGTTATGAAACTTTGGCCTCACAAAACTGCCTGGCTTTGCTAAAAACTGCTTAAGTTAGTTCTATGGCTAATTTTGCCTTCAAAAAAAGTACACCTGAGAGCAAAGGTGTCTGCTATTACAGACAATCAAAACCCACCAGTACCGTCTGCTTTCAATTGTGATACCACAGTATTACAAAAACTTTTTCCACAGATTGACACAGGTAGTCAAAAGTGATCTTGGTTTTTATTTTACCCCAGAGAAAGATACCTTCACGTTTAATTATTTATACCACAATGGTAGCTAAAGATCTCAGGCAAATAGTGTATAAGAAATTTTAATTATTTCTTGTATTATTACAGTGCAGTAACACAGTGTTAACAAGAAGAGAAATGCCAAGTTCTCATTCATGCACGCACAAATCTGGATGGAATTAGGGAAAATTCCTAAATCTAAGGGGGAAGATACAACACATGCAGAATGCTCTTGACTTGTGTTGCAAGAGAGAGGGCTGGAGTTATCTGGCACAATGCTGAAGACCCAGCAGAACCCAGCAATCCAATACTTAAAGAAAAAAGGAATACTTGAACCTGGAAGGGAATTGTCCACATCTACACTGAGTGTTTGGTGGGGAAAATAGCTCAAAACCACCAACAAGACCTGGAGTTGGGGAAAAACAAATCAGTGCAAGTGTGCTAAGCCACTACCTGACACTTGTCTCACTTTCTCTACCACATTAAGGGGAGGTTTTTAAACCCTGCAGTGGAGGAACAAAGATCACACTGAGAATGCTTGCCAAGCAAATAGATAAATTAATAAAAAATACAGGAGCAACAGCAGCTTCAGTGAGTGAAAAAGATGCTTTACTGCTGGAAACTCAGGCAAAAGCCCTGAGAGGTAGTGTGCACTGAGGCAATTAGTTCATGAATACACAATGGGGCAGACTACAGGAAACAATTATGACAACAAAGCCTGAACTACTTAATCAGAGTCAGTGATCAGAAAAGGAGAATCAAATTACAGTTCTGATTAAGTTGCATGTTTCAGCTGCGTGAAAGCATTTCTCTGCTCAAAAGCAAAGACATGGTAACTAGGACACGAAGAAAAAAATGCATGAGAAGTGATGTCTAAGAAACCTGACTTTATTCCCAATAGTGTCTGTAGAATCCGATCACCACACTGGGCCACATGAACAAGGAGACACAGTTCCTGCTCTAAAGAATTGGGAAGATGACAAAGCCACTTAGTTTTCACAAGAGGGATGTGCCATTTTGAGTATGCTTGGTGGCAGGAGCAAGAAAATGTTACTCAAAAACTAAGATCTATGTTGAATCTCTGTAAAAGTGTACTCTTGATTCAAACAGTTGAAACAACTGAGAAGGTCAGTAGAGTGGGATTTCTCTAGTGGATAAACACCTTCACAAGCATATTTGTTGCCTGCAAAGAGATCAAAGGAGGTCTTCCCAAGAACAGGAAAGTTTTGTGACAGTTAACATTGCCACTACAGGCACTACAGCCATTTGATGCATGAAAATCATGTCCATTTCTGTAGCTTAAGTCTGAGCCCTACAAACTATTAAATTGCAACGACAGTCTAAATCAGAAAACACCACCATCCAGCAACTTAAATGCACATAGGTCCACTTGCACCATGAAGTCAACCCTGCTGTTAAAGCAATTTTATTCCAAAGCATCCATATATGCATCCCCACACAAATCCTTGAGCATAAAGCTCTTCCCCATGCTTCATGGCATAGAAAGTCAAAAGATGCAGCTTAACAGCTCTGAATAACACTCTCAGAAAAGTCTTCTCACGGAGTTGCACAGCAAGAGACATGCCAGGTTTCTCGTAATAATTTCAACATGCTTTACAGACCTGAAGCTTCAGAACAGTTACAGGAAAGGTCTCTATACAAATAGCCCAAAAAATCAGATTAAAAAGTTGGTGTCTGATGAGTGAAGAGAGTCCAATTTCTTTCCTTCATAAGCCTACTTTACATCCAGTTTATTTCACATTATAGTTTAACACCTTAAACACAAGACCTGTCTCAACATCTCCCATGCCCCAGTGCATTAAATATGACAAGCATTTATCAGTGCAGTATTTGTGTATTTTAAAATAAAGTCAGATGAACTTTTGACAACTGCACTTTAATTTAGCACTTAAAAAGCAAAGCCTTGATTTTATTATCATATTGATCTGGTAGCAGAAGCACGGGGGAAAAGAATTCTCTGCAGCTACACCTTTGCCCACATTCAGAGAATTCACCCAATAGAGAAGACATGTCATGCAGGAGAAGCTGCCTCTCAGGAACACACAGCATTCCAGGAAAGGAGGTAGAAGTTTGCATGACTAAGATTATTCACTCATGAAAGTCTACATAATTGAATATAGTCTTAGGTGAAATCCGTAAGCTTTACCTTCTGATTTAACGGCGATATAGTGTCTGTTGCAGAATCAATGGGAAAGATCTGTACCTTCTGCTCAGTGTATGTATGGAAGTTCAAAAGAGCTGTTACAAGTTCTTGAACGAAAGCTAGTGCCTGGCCAGCAAGGTCTCGCAACTTCAGCTGTAAAGACAGTTAAAAAATTATCATATTTGACATGGGCCTATTTAAATATGAAAAAAATTCTATGGTTGGAATTAAAAAATTGCTGACATTTATTTCTTGTTACTAGTTCAGCCTAAGATACATAGCAGCAATTATCTTTAACTTCATTTTTGCAGTTTATGAATAAAATACAATGTCACACAGAAGGTAATTTTTTCTATGATAAAGTACATTTTTATTTCATACAGCAGGTGATGCTTTGCCTTTGCTGCATTTCTCAAACTACAGGCCACAAGAACACTTAAGAAGTTAGTACAATTACAAAAAACATCTTTGAAATGAGGAGTTCTACAGACCAGTAGACTAATTGCTGACAACAGCTCAGTTCTTTCAGTGTGGCAGTGTGAGAAATCTGTAACATCTGGTTGCAAGGAAACCTAACCTTTATTACTAAAAACCAATGAGGTTTTTTCCCCAGAATAAAAAGGTGTCTGCTTCTCTAACCAGTAACACTCAATTCTTATTCTCCCACCAGGGCAGAACTGAGCTGCTGCTCATGAATAAAGCTGTTCTGTGGCACTAGTGCAGTAAGAAGATATCCAATAAATTAATCCAAAATTGAACATTCTGAAAAACTAAAGGCAACAGAGAAGAAAACCACACTCTGTTGTAATTTATGGAGGAGAGAATAAGGTTAAAGTGACATTTCAGCCAAGAATGACTTATCCTTCAGCAATGTATTCCTAATGTTTCAATGTTAAATCAAGTGAATCTTGATTATGGGTCAGGGATGGTGGTAATTAATGCAGTCATTATACTCAGTTTGTGTGTGTTAATTAGCTTTGCAAGGAAAACAGAGAATATTACTGTTTTGCTGTCCTTGACTCTGCAGCCTGTGCTAATACACTAGCATTTTACCTCCACTGCCAAAGCTAGTCATAAAAATCTGTCCTGGAACATTTTCAAGACAGCACATCTTGAAGCATGAGGCTGGCTGACATAGTGCTAGGAGAAAATAGCAAAGGGAGAAACTCTCCACACAGTTATTCAGATTTTTTTTTTAGCTGATGCAAGGCTACTTCCATCACAAAACTGGAGAGCAGATCTCACAGCAGGCTTATTAGGAACAAGGTCTCTTTATAGGCGCTTCTGAAGAAAGGAGAAAGCGGCTACTTGAAATCTTTCTACAGTGGCATCTGAACGCACTAACTTGAAGGTTTGAGACATATCATACAAAGAGAAAACACTGAGTGCTGTGGTGCCCATCCTCAGTGGCAGAAAAACAGGAAAATATTGACTGCATCAAGGTATCCAATTTCCTGCTGTAAAAGGCCTTAATATATTTAGCTATTCACAGAAAACTAACGCTCAGTTTTGAATATTGAGTAAATCACATTCCCAAGGAAGCTGTCAAAATTACAGTAATGAACAGAAACGTTTTCTTTTTTTTAAATAGTATTTAAATTAATAAGGGTGATTTGGCTGCAAGTAAGAGGTGTTCTGGCAAGCAGTATCCCATAAAAATGTAAGTGAACCATGCAGAGTTCTCAGAGTTACACGATCTGTTCCTTAAAAGGATGACTAGTGACAAGTAATATTAACTGAAATGGTACCCTAGCATACACACCAATGTGCAGTTTACAAAGGCAAACATTCTTTGGGGCTCAAATGATGTGACTGAGGAAGCTCAGTTTGAGAGAAAAGGAATTTAAGATACCAAAACCTACCTTTTTTCAATGAGAAGCTTAAGACCTCTAAACTAAAGCAGATTTAACCAACTTTAAAATTCTAACGTACTGCAGATTGGCACAGTAAAAGGGATAGTTCATACAGCTTTAATAAGAGACAAATATTAAACCTTTTTGAGTAGCTCTCGTAAAGTGAGGTGAGCAGACAACTTGCCTCCTCACCGCAGGAACACTATAGACTACCTTTGAAAAGCGCAGAGGTTCTGTGGACAGAAATTCCCTTAGACTATCAGGATAGCAGTAATATAGCCCATCTTGTGCCACTTCAGGTCACTAAAATGATTGTTTTTATGCAGTTTTTATGTGGAAAGTTGTATCTTTACATATGAAGCCATAGAAAGAGCTTACCTGATATCTTCTGTTGTGTAACGGTACATTCAGAGCATTGTATCGATTCGATCCTACAGGACAAAAAAAGTTACTTATATGCACTTAGGAAATAGCTTTTCTTAAGAGACACTTATTGGTAAATAGCGATTTTTTTTAATATTAAATTTAATTGTGGAAATATTACAGTTCATGTAAGTAAGCTTCAATAAAGCAGGGCCAAACACCCTCACTTAAGAACTGTTACTGTGACTAGGTGGAGACAAAGCACTTCCATAATTGCTTCCGATTTGTAAATCAAATTTAACCATCTGAACACTCTGAATTTGATAGGTAAGAGCAGAATCCTCTTGCCCAGAAGAACAGCATTCATTAATAAGAGCGAAAATCTTAAAACCCTTAAAGAACTCGAGATGATCTTCAAGTTTAAAATACATTGCAGGGACTGCCAAATAAGATGAATGTATTTTTTAATGGTTTGCACATTTTAAAAAAAGCTCCCGTATGTACTTGATTTGTCGATAATTTAGAATATGTACTCTCTACATATTTCAGCATTCTGTTCCAGTCACAGAGCAACTAAAATGATTATTCAATTACAAGCAGAAACAAATTTTAAAGAGGTAGAGGGATATTTGTACCTAGAGAACAGCTTGCAAAGTCTTATAGGTTTAAAGGGGATCACATCCATCCTTAATTAAATTAAATAACAATTTTAGTTTAAAACTTGCACAAAAAATAAATTTACAGCTTCTTACTCCTTCTGTAATCATTCACATGTGGCAAGTAACACATGGGAAGAGGTAGTTGTATTCACAAAAAAAAACCCACTGTCCAAAATTACCAAATCCTACCCATAACAGAAAAAGCTTTCTGAAGTATTTCCTTATCTTTCTACTCTTGAAACCATGCTTAGCAGTCAACAAGCCATTTGTTTGTTACTGAAACTGAAGCCAGCTGCTAGTTACACTTAAAAACAACTACAGAGCCTACAGCAAGACATTTAGAATCCATAGCAAACATTTCCCAACTTTCTTTCTATCACTAAAGATCTGTCCACTATTTGCAGTGTCTTCTACACAAGCAAAAACATTATGCTATGGCAGTTGAGTGAGTCAACATTTCTGCACCTACTAGTTTATCCCCATCTTAACTTACTGTAACTCTTGAATATACCCGGCCAAAAATAATACTCTTTGAGATGATTAACTAAAGAAATCTTTGTGGAGAAACCAGTCAATTTACAGTGTTCCTTCATCTTTTGCAATATTCTGTCAACGCTGAGCAAGACAAGAGGCACATTACTCAAAAGCCTTCAGAAGTTTTCATTTTAATTTGAGATATATAAACATAAAAAGCTGATATTTTAAGATCACTAAACAAGGTGATGACTAGTATCATGAATACTTATTACAATTACCTCCAGGTGTCTGTTCAGACATCCAACATTTCCTACAACTAATGCACTTTAATTCATAAGGACTACCTCCTCCAGATGGATACCCAAAAATTAAACAAGAAACCCAGACCAAGGCAATACGTACTTGTGTCATTAAAAGGTACTTTTTCATTGATTATGCATAAAGATTCTTCCAGTCTACTGCCCAAAGCTGCTTGAAGATTCTTTAACTGTTGCTGGCTAAATAACAAAAAGACAAACAAAAAAACCACACACACACACATTGTAAACCTTTAAAATTTAATCTGTATCCAGTATCTGCTACCACCATAGCTCATCAGAGCATTCCCTGAGTGTTACAGGCATCTATCTCTTTCTAGAAGCTAGATAGAAATAAGACAGTAGAAATATTTTGTCCTTTGTGTTACCTTTAATATATGACATCATATTTTAATCCCTAACAAATGCAGTGAGCAATGCAATAGATTGTTGCAAACCCTAAATTCCATTCTTGGTAAGTTCAACTTACTTCAGAGTTAATCTTTACATCGTTTTCCAATTCTGCAATTATTGTATAAACTACATGAAAATATTATTTTCTACTGGAATCTGCACAGGAATGCAAAAGGCCTTTAAATTAGTTACTATAAATCCAATGTAGTATTCCAATACGCAAGCAGTGCGTTGTTGATAATTCAGTTAACTATGTCACACCACTACTAGAAACACCTCAGGAGCTTTTCAAAGCACTGCTATGACACGGCCCTTTCTCACTAGACTTGGCAATTACGTTTCTAATGTATTCTCAAGTGATTTTTCTCTAGATCTGCTTTACTTGCATTGATTATGGATACTGATGTGAACCTAAGTTATTACGATTACTAATATAATTCATATAGATTCTTAAGATGAACATATTCCAGCACTATATACATATGTCAAAAAAGAGTACTGCATATTGATCCAGACCAAATTCCACACCTTACCCAACTTAGGCCCTCAAATTCTTCACTGTTTTGCTTCCAGTTTGACATCTAGAACTCCTGCACATATAGTGGAGGGTGCGGGGGAAGGTGTCAAAGTGACAGGTTTTTGGTTTTTTTGTTTGTTTTTACAAAAAACATTCAATACACAGAAGTTTATCAGGACTAACAGGGAAAAAGACTCCAAAGTAGACAAGCAAGATATGAAGAAACTGGGTAATAAGTAGCTCATGCACATTAACAAACATTTTTCTTGAAGAGCAGCTCCAAAACTGCATAGAAACTGTACAGCATGAACCACAGTAGCACTGGGCATGACAGAAAATAAAGACAAACTGCAAAAGTATGGATGTTTCCTTTTTGTACTATAAAGGAATGGCAAACAAGTAGTTTGATATGTTTTGGTTTACATTCTGCCCTTTCATTTTCAAGGCATGCAGGCTGCCAAGTCTCATATCCCCTGGCCTTCTGGAATTAAGTGTGAGTGTCAGAGGCAAATGGATTCCTACCTCTAAAAGAGCGGGGCAAACAGAAAAGCAGAACTCTAAGACACCTTCTGTCATGTGTTCATTAGATCTTGATTCAGTGTTCAAAATAAGAACTGTCAGGCTTTATTACTTTCAAAAAGTCTTCCTTCTTAAATGGTAGAGACCATTTCTTACAGTGACATTAATTAACCAGTCATCACAGAACGTGATAGACAAGCTCCGAACTGAATAGCTGCAGATTAAGACTACCACGTTTTTCAAACACCATAAAAAAGCAAACAGCAGCAAAACACAGCTTTCATCCTCTTTTGCAAGTCATTCTTAGTGAAACCCTGACCCATATGAGAGAATTGTTGGAATTCTATTAAAAAAACTATCAAAATAAATAAAATACACACTTCAAGGTTATAATTTGAAAGAAGGAATTCCTCATGTGATTCACTATGCATTTTATCCATTACATTAAAGATCTATACTGCACATACATCTTTAAAAAACACACTTAATAACAAACTTCAGAGAAGTACACCCTAATTCAATTTGGCCCACAGCCCTCAACTTCTTCCCACTTTCTATAACTTGTCTTCAAGACAAGGATGTTATTACAAAACTAACACTACAGTCCTTCAACATAAACTTTCAAATAGTCTAGCTGAGTGTGTTATACCTGAAGCAGAAGCAATTGTTCAAGAAACTTTTGGGGTGGAAGGAGATTTTTGAAACTCTCTTCACAGAATCACAGAAT